GCGCTCCGTCCGCCCGGGCCCCCACTGACGGGCACTGCGCCGGCGCGCGGCAGTCGGCGTAGGTCGTCGGCGTCCGTCAGTTGTGTTGGCGGGGGCACCATGAAATACCAGAGCACGCGCGGCCGGGAGAAGGGCGTCTCGTTTAGGGATGTGCTATTTGCCGGTGAGTAATGTGAGCACTGAGCGGTGATGTCCACTTGTTGGTTTGTGTATTCCGAATTAGATGTATCAGCCGCATCGGCTGTCAGCACATTGTTACGTGATGAACGGTCATCACACGTGGATGTGAAGACGTGGGTGTGCATGACGCTGGAAGATGGCACAATATTTGTGCAGAGCTCTCATGAAAGCTGCGTGTCCGGCGCCGTGCTCTGTCACTGGCCTGCGTTAGCGACACCTTAACCTGGTCATGTTCCCAGAGAATACTCACCAGCTCACACCACGATGCTCAGAATGCTCACGGGATCGGCGGCCTTTCCTCGTGACGTCTGTTTAGCGTTTCGAGGCGGGGTTCGACAGCGTATGTATATGACTGAGCGACGGGCCGTCCCAGGGTACAGCAAGGACGGCGGTCTCTACTTCCCGGAGCGGATCCCACGCGTTACGCAGGACCAGCTGCGGGAGTGGTCCCAGCTCAGCTATCCGGACCTCCTGGTCGAGATTCTCTCCCTGTACGTGGACGAGTCGGAGCTCACGCGCGACCAGATCAAAGGTAACCCGGCCCAACATGGGATCGACTCTGTCCTGGTGCCTCGCCTCAGGTACTGAGCTGTCCAACTGAGACCCACTGGCTCACGCGTGCTGCAGTCGGAGAATGTCAGGACCCACGTGAGGACTCACTTGTCCCATCTTGGCGAGTTTCACAAACGGTGTTTTGGCTTAACATGCCCAAACTTGTCGGCATATACAAGGCCTAGTTACAAGACATATTGGCTAACATGCTGGCACACATACTTCCCTTCTACCGACCTAGCCGCGCGACATTGACTGCATTGCATATCGGACCTCAGATTGACAAACTGGGTTGCCATTTTTTCGCTGGCATTTATTCAGCAACCAATCATAATGGTTGTGGGTTTGTATCACAGATAAGATATCTGGCAAAATTCGCTACTGATCCACTCAGTAATTTTCTAGCCTCTAAAATATTTTTCTAGTCTTATTAGTCTCTAAAGAAATTATCTAGAGTCTCTAAAAGGATGAATGATAAGTGACCAATGAAACAATGAAATGGTGACCAAATGGAGCCCTTCGAAATTGAATGCCACGCTTTTTACACAAAACATGAAAAACGCTTGGTCTTTTTTAGCTAATCCGACTGGTGAGAGGCAGACTCAATATCAGCGTGACAATCGCTCGAGACAGTCTGGTATCTGATAGCTGCCTACGGGCAAAATACGAGGTAAGGAGTCTCCAGTTTCAAGGTGCTCGCTGAGACTCTGGTCTGAGTCATCAGTTGCGGAGCCTTCAAAAACTATTCTTAGCCTGCGGCTGCGATGGCCGCTTTTTTGGTGGAACGAGGCCTACTGATCGTCATTACATAAATTTTCTACGGACTCAGTATCCAGCGTGGAGGACCAGAAATGTTAGATGTTTTACCAAACTTGAATTACTTACCCTTTATATATTGGATGTAGGTGAGCCCGACCGCGAGTATTCTATACACATTCACACAACACTTCAAAAGGCAAAGTTCTTGTAATAATTCCACGCCATACGACCATAACTTCTACTTTAACTTCTGAAGGAAAGCGTGGTCCACCATGCAGTTGACATTCCCAGCACAATGGCGCATGCGAAGTCAAAATATGGAGAGGTCTGTGAGCCGCACAAAGGGCAGTACATAAACAATACACGCATGCCAAATCTCACGCACACGTGCAGCACATATCGGGCTCAAAGGCTGAATTGTTTCTGTCCCTCACAACCTTGCCCGATGGCAGCTTGTTCTCGCATGATTGCATCACCTTGGGACGGACAATATTTTGTCAAACTGAGCGTAATGTCGAGCAGTTCTGGAAAGTGCTCTGTCAGGTCCCACCATCCTGTCGCTGAACATGCTGCTGCGCTAGCTGTCTGGACATGATCACCTGTCACGACACTCAGGCCTGTGCTTACGTTAGTACCAGAACGCTATCTTGAAGCTCCTCGCTCTGAATGTCGGCAGCACGCTGTTTTGAGGGTTGAAGATCGGCATAGTAATCCGTCGGAGATCTTCTGGAGAGGTGTGTCGAGTTGGTCATCTGTGCCCCTCAGATGTGGCGGCCGGGGCCTTCTCCAAGTTCGAGTTGCCGGAGGTGATGCGGATAGCCGAGCTGGGTGACGAGCTGCGCGTCTCGGAGCTATTCCACGGGCCGACCTTGGCCTTCAAGGACCTCGGGCTGGGCGCCGTCGGACGGCTGGTGCAGGTGGGCCCGCCTTACGCCGACAATCTGCTGGGCCTTTCTTCCGTCGGAGTGTTGTTTGGGACGGCTGCTGGCGGCTGACTCGTGCTTCACTCTGCATTGATTCGGCATTGATTCCGGAGCCAGACAAATCTTTGCTAGGCCACGGTGGCATCGTTTCTTTTCGAGGTTTGATGTGAGTCGTAGTCAGAGTGTAGTCAGCCCAATTGGCCAGGAATTG